TTAAAGTACCACTTTCTTTTTTTTTTTTTTTCTTTGGTGGCTCAGTTAGTCTTTTCCTGCGTGCACTTTAATCATTAGTGGCATCTGAGTTGGAACCTCTTGTTGGCTCTGATTCCACACCAGCCTCCTCCTCTACTGTCCTCAGTTTTCAGCTGTGGATCGCTTCAGTTTTGGAACACGGTGGTAACAACTACATGGATTACTGGAGGATTTGGCAGACTCAGCCACATGCATGTTCCACTAGTTTGGGCAAGTATGTTTGCATATGCAATCTGGAGACCTGGAAAGACTCGATTTTTTAAAGGTTTAGCCTTTTCATGGCTGCTTCTTTCTATTAGAAAGTGTCACTGCAACCAAAACTAAACATGATTTATGTGATCCATTCAGGAAATTGCCCTGAAATCAGCAGCAAAGCCGGTGTGAAGAGTTTGAGGGCACCCTTGTTTACAGCTTCAAAGGCTGGCACGTACAATCTGTGAATGGTACCAACTGAAAAAAACAAAGCTTTAGTCAAGCCTAAATGACACACAGACACTCGGGCCTGGAGTCTCTGGATGGGCTCCAGTTACACGACTCCATTAAAAACACAACCAAATCGCAAACCTGCTACTGGCAGCGCAGCAGATGGCTGGTGTTAAACTCTGCCGATGGACTTCAAGCGGCCTGATCGATACCTCTCCCCTTCCACGAGGAGATGTGATTAGCCCAACCTGCTGCAGCCCTTCCACTCTCTCTCTCTCTCTCTCTCTCTCTCTCTCTCTTTTTTTTCCTTTCTTTCCATCAGCACAGGAAAACACTCACAGACACTTACTGTAAGCAGGCACACTTACTGTAATGACACACACCTGGATGCAGATGCGCACACTCCCACGTACGCCCTCGAGAAAATTGGATGTTTGAGCCGTGCCCCAAGAAGCACTCAGTGGAAGTCGAGTGGTGACTCAGCAGTCAGATAACGGAGAGAGACAGCAGCATGGCTTAAGTCAACGCACAGAGAGAGAGAGAGAGAAGGGGGGAGAGGGGGAGGGATGGTGCATAAAAATAATGAAGTGATTATTTTGAAGTGAAGGTGTCAGAGGGAGGAAAATGATAATCTGAGCCGTCTGTCTTTTTGATGATCAACCCTAGAATTACCCCCTTTTTTTTATTTTCAGTATAAAGTCAGGATGTCTGATCTCAAAGGAGACACATCATTATTATTGTTTGCGTCTCAGCGCTACACCCAGTGATTTAAAGATTCGTTTTCCACTTTGTTGTTCTTCTATCTCTCTTCTTCTCCCCCCCTCCCTCCCTCCTTGTTCCCATTATTGCCTCCATAATGAGGTCAGAGCATGAGTCCATCATGGGGGTCAGTTAAGTGCTTATCTGACCCCTTAATAGAACGGCCACATCATTTTTTTTTTGTCTGTATCGCCAATTCAGAAATGTTTAGTTCTTTATTGTATGTCTCAGTATTTTCCTCCCCCTGAGAGCTAATTCATTAAATGACATTTATTGTGTATTAATGGACACTTACGGCTGAGTGCCCACAGTGCAACTCGTCACTTTGCCTTTTTCTCTCCCCCCCACATGATAACTTGGCTTGAGGTTCAATCTTTTTTTTTTTTTTTTACACACACATAACAGCACACTTCATTCAGCCTTCTTTTTTTTATTTTTTAAAGCCTGTTTTAAGGGAAACCTAATTGAAAAACTGGGCATGTTGAGGGGGCAGTGGTAAGTGAGATTCATGATGCGTTGCAGACACGAGGTCGTACATCATACTTTGTGAGGCGGGCGACAGAAGCTGCCATTATTGGATCAGCACTGCTTCATTTAGTCTCCACACGAAACAGTCTGCCGCTAACGCCTGTGGACAGAGAGATGGAAGAGGGGAGGGAGAGATGGGAGGACGGGAGCTGGGAGGGACGGAAGACGAGGCAAAGGAATGAGGCTCATGAGAGACCAGATAGTTGAGAGAGACAAGAGGGAGATGAAAAAGAGAAAATGAAACAAGACCGTAGTTGTCCACAATTTTCTGTAATTTAAGGTCATTTAATGGTATGGTTTTTTTTGTTTGTTTCCCAGGAGCATAATCTGACATACAAGTCGAGTGTCAGGAAACGATGCATTAGTGATAATGGCCTGCAGCTTCCGGTTCATGCCGTCTTAGTCAACATTTCCACAACAGTTCAAGCAGCGTGCTGGAAAACTCCTCCAATAGCTCCCAGTATCTCACATCTAAGGTCCAGAGTTTAATTTCCATCCAACCATCCATCCGGATAGCTGTCCTCATTTACTCTGACAACTTATCGCTGACATCATTAGATTGTGGCACGACCAGACGAAGGAACGATAGTCTCAGTCTACACAAGTCTACTAAATACTCATGCAGAGATTTCACATATGCGTCGTTCCAATGACAGAATAACAGGTGCATACGGCTTCATGCGTTGTAAAGTCAATACTGAACCGGGAGCACAATTCACAAAGAGATGGTGCTATCTGGTGGCTGCGCTGTGAATGACATCTTTAAACAAGCAACTTGGTCTCTTTTATTACCGAGCACGAACACATCAAACAAACTTGCATTATTATCATTATGAAGCATTTTTGACAGATTAGTCCTTCTTTTCCCGACCATGTGGGGCTTCATCAATCAAAGTGACACCCAACTTCTGATATTTCACATCATTTTAAATGCTAAAATGCTGACCTGTATGTGTCAAATTAGCTGGAAGACTGAGCTCAAAGTTTCAAGGCATTCCTCACCCCGCAGACTTAATTTCCTCTTTTTTAAAAAAAAGACTGCATCTAAAGTAAATTACATACTGATTCTATCAGCGCATCGGTACACGTTTCTCAAAGAAATGAGGCTCATATCTCTATCTCAATTAAAATCTTTGCTCCTAATTAGAAGCTTCAGTGGGTAGGACAAACTGATGCACCGTGTGAGATATCTAAAATAGGGTTTTAATGAATACCACGACTGGAGAGGAGTGTCTGGATGCACTGGAAACACTACATCCATCACATGTTGGACAAGTGGTTTTAAAAATGAAGATGGAGCTTTATTTATAAAGGTATTGTGAAAACAGCAATCAGGAAGCATCTTTAGTTGTTTTTAATTCAAATGACCGTTTAAATGATGTATAATAATGCCAGTTCTACTCATCTGCAGTGGTTTAGCTATAGCAACATTCTGAATTTCCTTTAAAAAGTGTTGATTTGTTATCATAACTACGCCATAATTCAGGTGAGTTTAGCTTATATCATGGTTTACTGGTTTATCACTGCAATAAATTACTCCAGCAATACAGACACATTTTAACAGTGGTGTAATCCCAAAATATGGTTAAATACAATAGAACTGTATGCTATTTTTGGAGCAAAAGCCAAGCTTGAACGTCAGTAGTCGGCTCCTGTAAAACTGATGCCATGAATAAACAACACAACCGATCAGAAAACAGTATTTACACAAGAACATTGATTTGGATTGGGTTAGATGCCCTGAGGCACTTTCACATTTAATTTAATTTTATTTGTTTTACTGGTTTATTAAAATACATTTACCTGACAACAATTTGTTATACACTGCTGTCTTCAAATAGATGTTCCCAATACATGAAAGAATAACTTGTCTTGCTCTTTTTTTCTCCATCATTTAAGACGTTTTAGTGATATATGCATTTTTAAATGTTAACAGAGTTTCAATTCCGATTCAGACAGATTCAAGACAATGTTATTGATGGTATATGTAGCAATTCACAGTGGTATTCTGACATTTTAAAAGAAGAAAATGTTGTGATTTAGAGGCAACAGTTTACAGTTGGGGTTAACGGTGATTACAGTGGCAACACCAAGAGTAATACTGTAAATATACAGTAAAACAATGGCAACCACTGCTGGCTGTATCATATTGTAAACTTTATATTCAGCGACAGAACACAGTGTTAATAATTAATAATTAACAGTAATGAACTATTTTAATAAGTTACACTGGAGCATTGTAGGATCACAGCAATTTTGCAATTTTATACTAAAAGTTGTTGCAGTGTACGTTATTATTTATGTTTTCCTCCTAATTTTTTTTACTTGAAATCATTCGTTTGACAGTTGGGTAAATTTGCTTCCTAGCATAAAGTTAGCTGTGAAGATTGACACCATTTTCACATCTATACAGTAAATAGAAAACAACAGCCTGTTAGCTTAGCTTAGCACAAACAGTTGAAAGTTTGTCTTAGTCCAAGGGTGACAAAATCAGTCTACCAGCATAATTAAAACTTAACCATTTAACACTTAATATTTGTTTGAATCAATCAATACAAAAACAAACATAAAAAATATTCTTGTCACTTTGTTTTAGGGGAACCAAACGTCCTGTTTTCCCAGGACATGTTCTGTTTCCACGTCCTGTCCTGGCTGTTTTTTATATGTCCTGGTTTTACATGTATTTAAATCATAAGGCATCTTTATGACCCATCTGCATGAAATCAGTCGCATTGGGTCATTGTGTATAAACAAAAGCAGCATGTTGCTGCCACTTATGGGACAGGATTGGCTGGCAATTAAACACTGCTCGCTCACTGGTGTTACAGCTCATGCACGCTGACGGCATTTGACAGTGATATGGAGTATAATATTACTACTATTACTACTGTTATATGTTAGCTACATGTAGAAAACAACTACATGGAGCGATCTAAGTAACAAACCCAAAATCAATATTCTATCATGTGTTAACGTAATTGGGGCTGTATCTGGGATATAGCCCAAGGCACAATGCGACTGATTTCATGCAGATGGGTCACATTTGAGGATTTCATTGCCAGGTCAAGTGTCCTGGCTTTCAGTAATCAAAATATGGCCACCCTACACAATGTTTCCTGTCCTAATGCTAAGCTACGTGAACTAGCTACTGTTTGTATTGAGCGAACAAACATGACCGTGGTACAGATGTTCTCATTGACACACAAAACAAACCTTCAGCTACAATCCCTGTATAAATGAAATAATGCATCTTAACCAAATGTTTTATTTAGTTCAGTTCATTTGTAAATTTTTATTACATTTTTTTTTATTCATAACAGCAAGAATCAAATATAGCAATGCAGGCCCCATGAAAAAATGTGTCGGGAAACTTTTCTCTTCACTAAATCCCTCCATCAACGTTGGCACTGCGCACCACAAGTTATCAACTATCTTCATGACTCCAATTATTGCATGATGTTGTAGTTAATAAAACCACGGCAAACACATTCCCGTGAGCTCCAGAAGGTACCATTCCCCCCACCTCTTCGTCATTTCTGGTTTCTTCTCGTATTTCATTCGGATGAGATTATATTTTATGGCTTAAGACTGTTGCAATCAATGGTTTTTTTCTCTACGCACTCTTTCCAGACGAGGTGGCCGGCGTCGCAAAACACGCGACACATCCTTTCACGGGGGGTGCTGGAACAGTAAAAACAAGCAGAAACAAACTGCAGCAGAAGACAGAATACATCATATTAGCACTACAAGCAGAGAAAACAAACAACAAACAAAAAAAAGTTCAGTTTACATTATATCATAAACGTAAGCATGCGTGCTTGTAGAAGATGAGAGATGACTAAGATGATCAGGTCAAAATTTCAAACTGAGGACTTGATGACCAAACTACGAAGCAGTATTCCAATCTGCGATGAGTCTTAAATTCTGCCTGATGCTCAACTACATTCCCGTTTGGTCAGTTTCATCTACTAGAAGCACAGCTTACAGAAACATAAAGAACATACTTATAGCTGTGGTGTTTGTGTTGCATGTATTTTAACTCTCCAAGTGGTGACACCTTAGTGAGTATACTCTCAGGAATTTTTTTTTTTCATTTTTTTCTTTAAATAAACCACTATTCTATTTTTGTGTTTTTTTTATATATATTTTTATTCCATTACATTGATAGAATATTGTATACTGTAAATACATCTTTCTTTGTAAATGTTTTCTTATTCAATATTACTGTGTTGTGATTTTTTTTATTTCTTTTTTAAATGGTATATGTATTTCCTTTAACATGCACTCTTCTCTGAGTAAAGTAAAGAGACAGGACGTGTTGTGATTGGTTGGGCCTGGGAGGGCGTGGCCATGACACACAGACCTGTGAGTACAGGCAGGTTAGGGGACCAGACAAACCCAGTCAGGCCCTTACGCTGGAGGGTATAGTGGACGCCTCCTCCGGAAGGTTACCTGGCAAACTACAAGCTGCTGACAAAAAAGAAGAGCAACACTTGGCCTTTTCTGAAAGGGGTAGGAGAGTGAGAACTCAGTGCCCTTTTGATGCAAGCAATTTTGTTCAGCCTTTCATAAGATTTTTTTTTTTTGTTATCCTAGCAAAATTCCTTGTCGTTATAGACATTATTATTTTTTTTTATTCAAAATAAGATCTCAATATACATGATTCTCTCTTTTTTGACTATGTACAGAAGTGCAAAAAAGTCAACCTTTGTCACCTTTTATCGCCTCGAGGTTCCCCACCCCACCCTTGTTGTTTGCAGTTGGTTAAGTAAGACGTGAGTGTGCGGACTCAGCTCCTTACTCACCACGTTCACCTGACCCCGCCAGCAACGCCCCGAAAAGTGATCAAATATGCAGCTTGTTTTCCAACATGGCCCAATTTCCAGGGAGAGTAAAAATATTAAAACAATAGTTACTATTTGAAATGGATACAGTAGAAAATAACGTCTTTACTCTAAACATCTAAGAACTAGATTTTTTATAATAGTCTTTTTTTTTCTTATATGACTAGTTACAAACCTTACAATCATTAAAATATTACTCGGTTATTGGCGTCGGTTGCCACAGTGACAACTCAGCCTCTCTGTTCTATTATTTCATCACTGTTAGATACTCATATAAAACATCTTTGTTCAAAGAACACAAAAAAGACTAGAGAAATGAACAATATGCATACAGTTCAACAATATGCATAACGTAGAAAATATTGAGTTTACAATCATAATCATACTAAAATTAACATTACATGGAATTTCAGGAAACTGTGCATGAGGAACACGCAAACACACACTGTACCTTATATTCATTATAAGAAAGATAAATATAATAAGCAAAACTAAAAATCGGAACTAATATCAAAATATCATCCAAACGAAATCAAAACGAAAACACTCCTCGTCTAAGGAAGAACAAGAAAAACTACGAGAAAAGTTAAGAAAACACTGACAAAAAAAGTGACAATTACATAGTGCTGTGTGTGTTAATATGGCGTGGATTAGGCAACTGGATGGTTCAGAATGGCATGTTGCATTGTGCTGACCCGATGGTACATTCTAAGGCTTTGGATGAGTAATACAATCGTTTATATTCTTGCCACTTTCCCTGTATTATCCACCAATTTAAATATGCCTGAAGAACACCCAAACACAACAACAACAACAACAAAAAATAAAAGAGTTCTAGAGATCTACTCTAAAGACACGATCCTTCTTTGGGCTGCAAAATGTTCAAATTTAGCCCCGCTAGTCTACCCCCATAATACCTAATAACAGTGACACAAAAAGACTTTGGCGGACTATCTTGAAAAAAAAACTAAACAAAACAGTTCTCAGGTTTTAAACAAATATTCTTAAATATGTCAAGACTATATATACACTACATTGAATCTACTTTGACAACCTGCCTTTAAAATATACTTAACAAATACAAATGAAAAACAAATCAGGTCATACAAATCACATATCCATCACCAGTTGCATCTTAAGGTTTTGACTTCTGTCTCACAGCAGTTTGGACACCGACTCAAAGCTATTCGTCACACACATCTCATCACACACAGGCCAAAAACCCCACATATACTACTCATCTGACTTCTCAATAGAGAGAGATCTGCGTCAGGACAGATCCAGTCATTTCACGTCTAAACGACTGACATCAACGACAAAAGTCAAAGGAAAATAAAATAAAAAATTTAAAAGCTATTTCATTCAGTAGAAGATTTTGGGTAAAGCAGACAATCTGGGGGAATCTAATCAGCAGTGGTGCTATTGGGAATCACAGGTAATGACAGGTCACGACACTGGACACTACATGCTGTCCAAGAGAGAAAATAGACGTATTAAAGGGAATCGTTGAATCGAACACTTTGTAACACTGCTTAAATACCATTCATGTGTTTTGAGATGTATGGCACTTTACAGGGACGCCTGCAAGGTTAAAGACATGTGCTTAAGAGATAGAAAGGTAGGCTACAAAGGTTTGAAAGACACCTCACAGACATTCAGTTGCTATTTTGCCTCTGAGTGCACCCATGTAAATTCCCTTATCACTGGTTGAACAAATTGAAAATTAAAACAAAAAACAAAATCGTTGTGCATGCATATGTGATTCAGTCAGATTATCCGTCTCTTTTTACCTCAACTGAAATACAAGGTGCACCTTTGTGTAAACAAATAAACACGTTTAGGTCGATGACCAACAACCGATGAAGAAACAAACAACACAAGTCATGATTCTTGGTCAATGGACGTACCAATTCGGTCGACTTTTTTTTTCCGATGACCGCTCCACACGTTAATGTTAACATTCAAAGTGTGTCTGGTGAATAAAGGTTAGTCGCCTCTACGTAACGAAAGGCAGTCTTTAATGCAATGATGCTCTTTTTCTGTTGTCGTGTAGTAGTGTGCATGAAGTACACATGAAAACACTCCTAACAAACTGTGCCTCCTATGTTAACATGCAGATTTATTCCAAACCACTTTAGATTTGGTTTCTCCATTTCGCTCGTGGTGTTACGGGCATGAAGGGTGACCGCTAATCGTGGACTCGACACCAGCACGCTCCAGTTCCATCTGGGAAGAAGTTCACAAAACAGTGCAAATTAGATGTGATGGAAGTGGACAGGCTCCTAAGAAGCTTACTGTAGCTGAGATTCTTGATTTTCCTTTTGTCAGTTACAATCTGACACTGATAACGAACAACTCGGCAAAGATCAAATTACACCGTGACCGTAGTTTGTTCACATGTTTGCTCCTGAAGTATGTTTGTATAATATATTTAAAGTTCGGGAAAGATCACGGTCACATTTAATTAAAAGGCAAAAGGGTTTTGCATGGTTCTGATGGGAAGCACATTACTTCCTGCATCAGCTGAACACCGGCATCAGATATACTGTAAATCACGAGCTACAGCATTTCCCAATATAAATGAAAGAAGGTCGCCGGCTCGTGTTCCGGTGAGGACACCCGGGATCTTTCTGCCTGGAGTTTTATATGTTCTCCCCGTGCAGCGTGGGTTCTCTCCGGGTTCTCCAGCTTCCTCTCACAGTCCACAAACATGTTGAGGTTAATTGGTGATTCTAAATTGTCCATAGGTGTGAATGTGAGTGTGCTTGGTTGTCTGTCTCTCTGTGTAGCCCTGTGATAGACTGGTGACCTGTCCAGGGTGTCCCCTGCCTTTGGCCTAAGTCAGCTGGGATAGGCTCCAGCCCCCCCACGGCCCTAGTGAGGATTAAGCAGTGTATAGATGATGGATGGATGGATGGATGGATGTTTTACAATTATGATCTAACACAACAAAGCAGATATTTTGTATGATTTCATTCTAGATAGTTTTGCATTCGCTACAGAACTGACTTCAAAAGACAATTTATAGGATATTAACAGGTGCATTACAAAACAAGAAGTGCAGAAAGCATGAGAAGTACCAGCGGCTGTAATCCTTTTGCCAAGCTGTGCAGTGAACATGAAGCAAAAACCTCATCAGTAGGGAATCAGAGGAGCAACTTATTCTCATGGACCATCAACGGTGCGTCACTGTGAAAGCTTCCACAATGGCCAAGTTGGATTAGACAAATTGGAAATAGTGGCTTTGTGGTAATGTTTCATTTAGTACATTCATGTTTATATCACATACACCGGTGTGAAATTTGTAATTGTTGTCCTATATTCCAACATTTCTTACAGATTGCATCAGATAAGACTGACACATGTAGGTGATGATATAATATTGCAGCAGCTGTTACTTTCAGCAGCATTAGCACGCCCTCGGGAGTTGCAGTCATCCCTTGCTTGAGTCAGGATGGTGAATGTTTCATTTTGTTTTCCATTTAATTGGAGCAACTTGAGGGTTTCTGATAAAAAATTCAGCCATAAATATCTCGTTTGCCAGAATGCAAATGCTCATTTTGGAACATTATAAGAGCACCTGCCAAATGTTGGTTAACTCTGCCTTTTATATTAAGAAACATCTCTTGTTTGTATTTCTATTTGAGATGCAAGAGAATAAAATAGCATACCAAGGCAAGAAAAAGAGAAAAAACAAAGCTTAGAAATGTGACATTTTTCAAGTTGATGCACTTTTTTTCAGTGTAGTATGATACTTTGAGAAGTATGACTTTTTGTAATTTCTAGAATCTTGTAGTTGCTGTGAGATTACCAGACAACATACAACTTCCTGTAAAAACAATGGTTGTTTCTATAATTTGTCTTTTGTATGAATTTCAGACAGTTACTTGTCACCTAACCTGTTTTCCTTTTATGCTAAGCTAAGCAGCTACGGCTTGTAATTTCATTGCAGCCTAACGAGAACAATCTTCTCGTCTAATTCTCAGCAAGGAAGCAAACAGGTGCATGTCACAAAACAGTAAGCTGTTCCTTTAAGTTCTACACTAGGTAATAAACACAAAAATGCAGGTGTTGCAAGTCTGCGGCAAAACGGTTTCGTTGCTTTTTTTGGGTGAAAAGTTGCAGGCTGCAGAGTACAGTGGGTGAGATGCTGGAAGGAGGTGCGGTACATACTGTTCTGATTGAGACTTCTACATCTGGGTCACATACTTGTGACTAGTCAGATGGTCTGCAGATATTACTGGAATCTGATTGAGAGAGGAAGAGAGACACAGAAAGGGAGGGGAGATGATGAAGAGAAATAAGCAGAAATGAGGAAAAACAGCACTTCAACCAACAGTGATACGAAAAGAAAAGTACAGCGTTTGTGTGTGTGTGTGTATAATCACAGTATCAAATGTTTAGAGTAACTAGCAAAGATCAGCGCTGAGCCTGGTGCACCATTCATGCATTTTTCATTCGGTGGCACATTGGAATCACAAGATTTAAAGACACCGAAAAGTTGGGAGCTGATACCAGAAGTGACAGAGAGTGAGAGGAAGGCAGGAGAGGAGCAAACCTGATTGGCTGTTGCTGTTGCAAAGGGAACACTTGTGGCAGATGTGGTGGCTGCAGACACAGTGGCTGGAGTAGCACCGTGCATCATGGGTACTTGGAGAAGAAAGATCACACAGGCAGATGAACCAGAGCAGATTTGAAGCTTCTTTTTTTTAATGCTTTACACTTCATTTGTACGTCCGTGTGTAGAATGCTAATAAACATGAGAAAAATAAAGTCTATTTCTTGGTGGTCTCTACTGTTCTTGCAGTTTAAGTAAAGCAACAGCGACAGACCTGCTGCGGAGGAAGACAAAGAAACATTAAAGAAACTATTTAGAGTGCATGGTAGCTAATTGGGAATTTGAAGAGCAGTATATAAATTGAGATGACAGAATGCCTTTCTTCTTAGAGTGGGGCATTCATAATATACATTTGTAAAAAATTGACACTACAATTACAGCATTACAACTTTTACCGCTTCCTACACTACTCATGTTTATATGGCATTCATAACCAGACAGTATAATGAGGTGCTCAAGAGGTTAGAGAGCTTGGGATGGAAGTAAAATGAAGCAGGGGTTCTTGAACTGCAACAAGCATTAGGTGACAGACAGACCTGTGGCAGAGCAAAAAAGGGATTCATCATCCTTCCAAAAAAAAAAAAAAAAAAAGTACCGCAGAGTAAAGTAAAACACATGACTTCCAATTGAAATTACACAATCAAATTCGAAATCAAGTCACATTTTAACAGCCACACTGTCGACCGAAAGAGATTACATATGCCATTTTGAGTAAACGTCAAAAGTCTAAATTCACAAAATGGAGAATGCGCTCACATTATGCGGTGAGTTGAATGAAGTGACTAAAATGGGCTCAAAGATAATCAGTAAGGAAAGCTGGCACCTACCAACACTTGTTGCAGGTGTCATGCACAATATCGAGCCTGCCCATCATGCATTGCAACAGGTAGTGGAGTGAATAGGGGGGGAGAAGAAATCAAGAAAAACCCATTACAAGTGTTATAAAGTCAGACATAATTGGATATGAACAAACTGTGCTGTGAATATGTTAACCTGCTGGATTCAATACAGTGATTATGCAATAGTACGGACACACGAGACACAGTTACTGCAACCACACGCACTGCACGGCAAAGAAAAAAAAAAAGCTTATCTACGAAATCTACGAGTGGGAAAAGATATGTGAAAAATTGAAAAACTTCTTGGCCAGTTTATTCTTCAACTGCTCCATTAAACGGACGGGCAAATTAAACACTACCAGTGGCCCCATTTTCCCGTCAGCAGCATACAGCAGCTGTTTGCACGATGAATGATGTGCTTTTTGAATCCTCCGAGTGTGTTGTAGCGACCTGACAGTCCAATAGCGTGGGACATATGAGGATCTGAGTATCTGAATCTCTCGCAGCGGGGGAATCGATGGCAGGCTATTCTTAGGCTGTCAGATGAGAATATAGGGCAGAGTGTTAAGATGACTACGCAGTGCCCAACAGTTCAAATGAGCTGTGTGTGTATGTGTGTGCGTACAATACGCGCACACCAAGGGTATAATTTCCACTGGGTATTGAGGGGAGTCGCCGCCCTCGGTCACATCAGTTTCCATTTGATTCACTAAATCATATCTGTCTAATTGATATCTGTTGCTCATCTGTGTTACAAAGCGTTTGGCTGCCCTGATTATGTGATGGGTGGAGCTTGGTGGGGCTGCAGGACCAATTTTAGCGTATGCAGAAAATAGCTGTCTCCTACTTTTGACACCAAACCTACACTCAGGATTTATAAACGTACAGTATACGACCATTTCACACATTCGGCCATTCACTGATGCCAAAACACAATCAGGGAGTGAGAAACATGTGATTTTACAGCCAGCGCCAGTGAGAATCCTGCCACAAACATGGGTTAAAGAAGGCTCGGGCCTTACCTGATGGTATGAAGGCAGCCTGCTGCTGAAACTGCATGTTGGCCAGGGCCTGTTGGTACTGGAATACGCCAGCATTGAACATAGTGGTGGCACCGTTGGCTTTTTCAAGTGCAGGTCTCTTTGGTAAAGGAGGCAAGACGGGAGGGAGCCCCTGATGAGGGGACAACACCAAAAAAAGGGATGGGAGTGAGGGAAATCAAAGGATGGTAGCCGTGACATTCAGGACAGAGAGAAGAAAGAATTTCATTAGAAGACAAAGTTGCCCTTCCAAAACAGCTATTACAAATATTTGCGAGCAAGCAGTGGACTAGACTACTTCTGTCAGAGCAAGACAGGACAGCGGTGCTAGCTGACAAACTGTGACACCTATCTGGCTAGTGAGAACAACAAACAGTCGTCAGCATATTGTCGTGAACCTTCTTATGTGATTTTGAAGAATACAGTAAACACAATAATTATTTCTGCAGGCTAAGCACAACTAGATCTTTCTAGAGTGATAATATAGTATATTGTACTGACTTTTGGACCATCAGCAGAAATGATGTAGTTAGGGAAAGCTGCACTGCCAGCTCCATGATAATATTACACTAAAAGCCATGTTAAGACTGTCATGACACCTCTTCAACAACTACACATGCAATATGGGAAGTGACAAAATCATGCAAAGACTACCATCATCTTATTAGACACTAAAATATTGCACTCTCATGCCTCCAATGATTTGAGATTCACTCAAGGTGATGAACTGAATTTGAAAAAGCTAATGTGTTTCCAACGTAAGTCGGTTTTCTTTCGTGGTCACTCACGTTTTAAATTGAGATTCAAATTGTAATTTTATCATTTGTTTTATCGGTGCAAACCTAAGAGCTGAGTTCAGTTCATCACCCCTCAGTGTTTCCTCAGTTGAGTTAATTAAATACATAGTTTCAAAGTATATCTATCACACCACAGCTACATGCCAAGCTAAAAGGTGAAAGGTCATAGTACCAGGTCAAAAGTTGCGTCGAGGGGTCGCTTCAGTGATTTGACAGCCGACTGTGTCTTAATTAGCAGGCAGCGAGCACATGATGGCAATGGGCCAATGGGGTTCAAGCGCATTAACATAAACCAGCAAGCGGAGGTGCATCATGGGGGCAGCAGTGCAGTGTGGGTTTGGTGAGAAAAAAAACAAACAAAAAACAAACAAACAAATAAAAAACAAATCATTTGGAATGCAATATACAACAATTACAAGACTAGGGCATGCACATTAATGGCTGTAGGGTTACTGAAAGAGAATTATGGCCCTTTAAGACAATTTATTGTCAGTTTGATGAACTACCGTGTGTGCGTTTTGGTCAAGAAAGGAGGATTAGACAATTAACCAGATTTACTCAAGTTAATTTGTGACTGCATAGAGATATACCTTTGAGTAATAATCCTGGTCCCTGCTTTTTTTTTTTTTAACAGTCTGTCATGATTGATCTATGATAACTAAACTTGACTTTTGTTTCTGAGCTAGTTTTAAGATTTTAACTCCATAACAACAGGTGCAACTGCTGCTATCATCAACTAAACAGAATGTAACACCACTCATTTTTATCAAAGCTAAGACTGTCTGGACTTATCGTCGAAGTTTCAGCACACTTTTATCTCATTATATAATAAGTATAAGTCAGTATCATCATAGCTCTTATTAGGATATCACAATAACAGAAGATATACTCTGCCAACAAGGTAAAGATTGCCTGCGTAAATATAAAGCTCAGGTTTGCACAAAAGTTATACAGTTACTTTAGTGTGTCCATTTTTTTCCCTTACATTTTGCTTTACGAATGCATTTTCCATGAATCACTTACAAGTTATGTTTCGACTAAATAAGTCTACACATGCAAACTCCTCCGCTGGGCTGCATTAAAAAAAAAAAAAAGCTCTTCTTTAAGTGCTCAAGTCTATTTGAAGGTGAATGTGCAAAACGCACCTGTGTTTTCTTTTAGACATCAATTAAAAGTTTATTACAGTACTTTTTGAAAAATTGTGCAATCATTTTATTTATGTGTTTCATATCCTTGGTTGAGTTTAAAGTTAATTTTAGCTTTGACTTAAATACAGCAGGGAAAAAAAGAAAAAAAAAAAAAAGAAAAGGCATTACACCATTATAACCTAATTTATCTACGTTCCTGAACCTGGAATGTAAGTAAAACAAAGCTGAAGCAGATGAAGATCGTTTAGTCTCAGTGTGTAACCACATCGTAAAATTTGCATTTCTTCACCACTAATTGTCATTTTAAATGCCATACAAGCTAATTAGAGGAATTGACCCAGAGACCACGTTTAACATTTTACAGAGGAGACGGCGTAAAAAAGGGTGAGTTATTACTGATACTATCGTTCAGGTGTGGAGGCAGACCTAATCACGTTACGCCTAATTTGGCTTTATGGAATAATTTAAATGTAAAAAGGTTAACTGGAATAAATCCGACCCTCCTTTCTGGAATACCAGCTGCACAATGTCAGTACTTGGCTGAGCAAAAAACCTCCTCGTGTTCCTTTAGGGAAAATGATCGCTGCATTGCGGGAGTAAGAGCGAAAAGAAAGGTGGTCTAAATAGTCGCCTTCTCAGCGAAAAATCTAACGTACCTATTAACTGTGAACAGCAAAATATACAACTAATAAAGCAGCAAAACAAGGACGAGCAGGAGAGGGGAGCAGAAGGCTCAGTCACATACTAGCACGATCACTACAGCCTGCTGCTAATAAAGCACACACTGTGTCTTTTTAGTGCAAGAGGGCAGGAACAATGGAGACTTGGATGTGTAGGGTTAAGGTGTTTGCTTTAACAAGCCTGTCCATAAAAGACTCCAAACTATCTTCAAATACAAGGTCAGGTTTGTCCACCTATCATAAATATCAAATAGCTTAATGATTTCACATGAGAAATCAAGTCTGATTAACTTACAGAACTGTAATCTAGGTCATATTTGTTTTCACTGATGATACTCTAATACTGTAGCCTGAGTGGTTCTCGATGGTGTAATCTGGACAGATACCTACCATGGCTGCAGCAGCTGCAGCCTGGTTCACTTGGTGTTGGGCGGCTTTGATTTTGGCCTGCAGGTGAGCCGGAGGGTGAAAGTACTTGCATTTCTCCCTCGAGCAACGGCCCTTAATGTAGTCCATACACACAGTGACTGTGTTGTCGTTGGTGTCAATCATCGTGCTGTCTGCCGGGTGGGCGAAGCGACAGTCATTCTCCCCACGTGTACAGTTTCCCCGCTGGTATTCCCGGCACACCTGGGGCACAAAACACAACGGTAAGGCGCCATAAATGCACCCAAACACCAGATGCACACACACGTTATGAAGTTACTGTTCACTTTAGCACAGATTTGATGAAGTAATCAATCTGTTCAGTCATTTCAGAACTTGACAATCACTTTACCAGACAGAGGTAACCAATCTTAGTGACAGGTTGGGGCCATTACTGTTGATTGATAAGCAGAACAGATCCTAACCAGAGTTTACAGACTCATCAATCACACGCCATTTATCCATTATTCAAATGAGCTGTGTTGTTGTCCTCCCCAAGAGGGACAGAAGGGGGCAGCACCTGCACGAACAGTCAGGGGAAAGCAGTTGTGACAGCCTGTGGTCTGAATGTAGGGGCTCAATGAGGCTCATGGGAAATATGAGGCTGGTTACTCTCAAGGGAGGCTGGAGCTGACGTAATCACCAACCCAGACATAATAACACACACACAAGGTGGATGCACGTATGATTTATGAGGCAGCAATTTTTCCCAGAAGCAAATTCTGACACTTAAAGACCCGTGCAATAACTTCAAATCTCTTCCCGAGCACCGTTGGCCTCTGCTGAGTCAGAATGGGCGTTTAAAATGCTGCCCTCCACCAAAATGAAATGTAATTTCATGGTGCCTTGTATCGATCTATCAGTTATTGCGTGTGATAGAACAAGCCATTAACCGAGTGTGTTTACCAGTCGCACTGTCTGCATGCATAAAGGATTTGATTTGTGGCGGACCGGCAGCCAGACAAAAGGCCACCAGCACCGTTATCTACAAACTAACCCTGCTCTGTCTCCTGCCATGACAGCTCATCATCCCCAATCAGTGATCGGCATGAGGGATGAGGCAGGATTCTCCCTCTGTCTGTCTCTTGTTCCTCTTTCTCACATTCGAACGTTCACCTACATTAATTCCTGCTACCATTACTACCACTGCTACTGGTCTTATTTAAAAAGAGAGAGAGAGAGAGAGACTGCCTTGTTGTCAGGCAGATGTAGGAGAGGCGGGCGAGGGAGGGAGGGAAAACGGGAGAGAAGGAAAATGTAAGCGTGGTTGATGAATAAAGAGTAAAGGACGGAGAGACGGGGATCGAGGAGACGGAGTGGGGAGTCTTTGGGGACGAAGCGAGTGTGGCTGGCACAGAAAGAATATTAGAGAAGAAAGACGACTAAATGGCGGCAATTTGATGTTCACGGCACCAGGTGTGGATCAGTGTGCCTCTCTTAACAGTGCTTAATTATGCATTAGAAGACGCTAAACCAGTGAAAGTGCTTAGTTGGACAAACAAATACGTGGCCTGTTAATCATATTTCTGTCCCCATGGTAACTATCCCTCTGGGCCATTTACATCACCATGGTTGCAGGTAAGCAACGTCGGAGTTTACGAATGCTTGAGATGTTGCAGTATACTGTGGCTCCATAAGGGGAACGAGAAAGGGAGGATACCGGAAAATATTTCTCAGCAAAAACAGTCTGAAGGATTGTCTTCTAAAATAGGAATTTCTCTCAGTCTCAAGGAAACAGTCTGCAACATATCTACAGACTGGTATGTGTGTGCGTCCACAGAATTCCAGCTATGTTTATTTTGAATGACACACACACTAGAAACTAAAATATGGCTGCCCTTTTCCACTAAGATATATTTAGAAAAACTAGTTCCTAACAAATTAGGCTAGGATATGAATTCGCCCAATCAAAAGGCTTTACCAGTGCAGGCAGGCTGAGCGCTACAGGCGCTGTTGACCACGCGGTCTGAATGTCTAGAAGGGGAAAACAATAAAAATGAGCAAATCATTATTGCAATTGGCTAATAAATATTTCATATCCTTTGTCTGTTTACGAGACTCGAATGCTATCAATCAAGGCCTGCGTGCATGCTCTTCTACTGACAACAACAACTTCTTGCCTCCAATTATCCACGGCCTCTACAGCAGGGGTTCTCAAACGTACTACTCCGAGGTCTGTGTCTGATTTCTATTCAAGGTCAGAGGTCCAGAGCCATTAGCAATAACATATTAACATTTAATCAGCTCACTTGTGACTTTTAAGCAACATACATTTAAGTTTGAAACAGTCAAAACCCATTTGAGGAAGTCTGGTTGCTTGCAGTCGGTTGCATCACAGTGACCCCTCAACTCGGTGGCGTTATTACACCACAGACGTCACATCCCTTGTGACTGGGTCAGCACGAAACCGACACGGCTCAGCTGATCCGTATTTGTTTCTGACTCAGACGTATTCTCACAGCCACGTTTGCACTAGTTGTAGAAACTGTATACTGGGAAGAAAAGAAAAAAAAAAAAAGACTAATTCCATTTCTACGATTTAGGAGCTGATAGCAGATTCTCTGGTGTAACGTTAGCGCGTGAACGTGGCAGCAACAAGACACAACATTCTCTCCAGCAGTTAACGTCGTCATGACGACAATGTCAACGGGAAATAAGCCACATTAAAACTAAATTCATCTGGGGACGGGATCGCTGTGAACAATCTCCGGTTCGCTGTATTCAACGTCACTAGCAACTCGTTGATTAAGAGAACACTGATTCTAAACTAGAACTCGTTACACTCCATAAGGTGTTGCATTATAACACGAGGTGTGGGCCGTGTCTGGATTAGGGCTGAGGTGTGGGCTTTAAGAAGCAATACTCTACAGCGTAACTTCATCTAATTCCTCTATGAAATGTAATCACTTGTTTCTATTATCTTTGCCTCTGCTTGCCCCTTCCCCTCCCCTGATGACCACAACAGGTCTAGAAATTGATTTCCTATCTCCCTCTCCATCTCTCTTTCCTGCCATTGACCCATTCCCTCACTCTGCATGTTGTCCACCCGTTCGGCAGGTCTAGAGACTTATTCAGCCTCACCCCCATTAATTACCCACCTACCCAACATTACATCTTAAATGTAACCTTCCTAACGTTTCTGCACGCCTCCTGCCTGCCTCCAACGATTTCCCCATTATTCCACTGCGAGTGTATCTCGGGTGGGGCTACATAATGGATGAGATTGACTTACTGTCCAATTAATGATTATCTAAACACAGCTAGAGGAGGGGCACTCATCAGGTTTCAAATGACTAATTGCTTCCATAGAAGAAGTAAAGATTTTTCTGAAAATGACACATTCGTACAGTATAACTTGAGCTTGTGCCAAACAATGTTGTCTCCCGCCTATCGATGGGAGCAGCAACAGTAATGTTTGCAGAGAGATACTCTCATTAACGTCTCTTTCTCTTTGCTTAAGTCTGGGTAATGACTGTATTATGGTAATGGGATGTAGTTACTGTAACAGAAACTGTGTACCAGATACATAATTAAAGTCTACAAACAGAAACTGTTGAGGCAAGACTTTCCAACCCTTGCCTTTAATATTCAAATAGGCTCAGCCCACATTTCAAAGCCCAATCTGTTTATTAGAGTTTTGCTAATCTGTTTTTTAATCTGTGACTGATATGGAAGTGACAAAATAATTATGCAAATCCTCTCATCTGTGTGATCAGTGATGCGCGCATGCACTTATGTGGTCATATTTTCCCCTTTTATCCTTGCGTCTGTTTGTGTAAATGCTTGTGTTTCTCACCTCCAGTCTGTCTGTCCTCATTAGTTTCTGTGCAGCAGCAGCAGCAGCAGCAGGTACGGGGACGCTGGGGTTGCTGGTGACCAGTACAGGGGCGCTGGGCAAGATGTCAGCGGGCATCAGGCCGGGCGACACAGGGCCAAGGTAGGGGTTAAATGCAGCGGCCGCTGCTGCAGCAGCATTGGCATTGGTTGCAAGGCTTGGTGTGACTGAAAACATGGGCTGTGGGCACATGCAAAATAGGAGAGTTGGTCGAAATTGAGCAAAATCAACCCATGACAATTTCTCACAAAGTCTATATATAAAAATGTTGAATATTTAATGACATACAGCGAGCATAATGCTATCCTTTCTAACTCCTACTCAAATTACCCCTTGAAGATACTGTATATTGATGGTGAAATAAAAGATGTATGCAATTGTCAATGGCAAAGCAGAGGGTAGGAACTGTGGTTGTGGATGTTGAGAGAAGGAAGAAGGAAAAATGGATGATTAATGGCCGTACATCTGAGGAAAAAGAATGTATCTTCTTTCTTGGCTGCTTGTCTTTCATTTGCACTAACACACAGACGAAGCTCAGAGTCAGTATGTGGAGTCACCTACAGTTCGCCCATTGATCAGATGGAATCACATGCTTTATACACCAGAGATCACAAAGACACCATTAATAATCATGAGGGACGTCAAGCTGTGTGCGCATGTGAAGGGAGCGAAGCGACAACGGTGTACCGACTGTATGCATTGTACTGAAGTTTAATAGAGAAAACATCCAACAGCTCCTGCTGCAGTTCTCTTAGAAGGAGGCTAAGGAGTATGCTAGCTGACATTGTGCACTGCAAGTTTTCTCTGCACGTTCCTGACCTCAGCCCCAGTCTAAGGATTGTCTCTTGAGCCCCTGCCAACAGGACGCAGTGAGTAATAAAATAGTGGCAGCCAGGGCTGGACAGCTACATTCTTCCTAAAAACCTTCTCACAGCTCCACGATGACTCAGAAAATCAGGAATAATGGTGCGGACTTCCTAATTCTTCCAATTGCTGCCCTCTGGAATGTCTGATGAATTATGTCCTGTCACAAGGTGCTCTGGAAAAGTAGATGTGCCTCTCTCCAGGTGCTCAGATATCAGTTTGAGATATTTGCAGCTCAGGGTTTGGATGGGAGAGGCATGATGTCATTGAAAACACTCACAGTCATGAGGTTTTAACAATGCAGTGATGTCATCCAGCAAAGAGTCTGTGACCTTGCTTATGGCCTTTTTTGGAAAGTCTCTTCATTTAGCACCGAATCCTTTCCGATACTGATACGACATTGCAGGTCCTTGTTACAATTCACATTCAAAGTTTAAAACTGTTAACATGAGAGTGTGAGCTGTGTTAAATTGAGGTTATTTACAGATTCAGAACAGAACAATGTCTCACTGCATACCTCCTGTCAGTGATTTGTGTTGCAGCAGTGATGTGGCATTTATGTAATAAATGGCCTTTCTTTAAAGTACTATGATTTTGCGTTTCATCATTAATTCCAAGCTTATTCACATATTTTTGAGCAAACTGTCAGGATCTCATCTTTATTTAGTATAATAGTGCTTAATGTGGATAAAATAACTATTTTGGTAAAATGTAACAGCAGCTAAAGTTGTAAAAAGTCACAAGTTCACAAACTGACTTAACATTTAATTTAACATCTCTATTTAAAGTGTGCTAAGTTTGCTAATTGGCCACCATAGCAGGTCACATCAGACCAACAAAGGCTGCATCCAGAGATATTTAACATCGCAGATATTTAACCATTATAAAGGAACAAAAATACAGACTTTAAGATTATTGAATTTCTACGTTAGCTACCTTATGCACACTCAGAACTTTGTTTTCTTACTACTTTGCAACGCCAGCCCTACCTCCAGTTTTAAAAGTCCCATATGGTGAAAATCCATTTTTATTGTGTTTTGCATGTTTTATAAACTTGGAGATGGAAAATAAAAGCTGTGCAAGTATGATGATGCTTACTACTGCCTTTTCTCAAGCTCCCTTTCAACTAAATGGCCTCCCAGCTTTACAAGCCTCTCGGAACTTTGTCCAGTTTCTTACATAGAAACTCAGGAACCACAAGTTGTCCGGCTAAGCATTTGCATAATCGTGCCCACTTATTGCCCGCTGTTTCTGAGGTGAGCCATTTAAAATGAGCAGCTGCCCCACAGTCTACCAGGTTTGCCTACTTTCTAGGGCTGCTTTTACTATAATGTCTCAGCCAAGAGCAAACCATGCTAAATCTTCTGCTTTTGGCTACAAGAATGAACACAGGAGTCTTTCTCATGGAGCAATCATAGCAACTGGACCTGCTTGAGTTCCTTGAAGACGTTTCACCTCTCATCATTTGAATTTCCCTTCTGGGATAAATAAAGTATTTTTCATCCAAGAGGCTTCATCAGTTCATCAAGCAAGCCCAGTTGCTATGATTAATCCACAAGCATAACCATGACCTGGATGACTGACAATCGTCACAGACACAAGAGTCTTCATGTATTCCCAGCATCTGAGGAACTGAAGACCCACTTTTAGCTAAGACCAAATGCCCACAGCTCACAGGTATGTGGGAATTGTAATTTTGAGGGACATTTAGAGATGGTGGAAACTACATGACAGATTTTAAACCAATAAACAAGGACTAATTTGGGTGACTGTGTTTTCATGTTGGGCTGCAAGGTGGTGTGGTGGTTAGCACTGTTGCCTCGAATCAAGAAGGTCACCAGTTCGCGTCCCAGTGAGGACACCCGGGATCTTTCTGCGTGGAGTTTGCATGTTCTCCCCGTGCAGCGTGGGTTCCCTCCGGGTTCTCCGGCTTCCTCCCACAAGCCAAAAACATGTTGAGGTTAATTGATGATTCTAAATTGTCCGTAGGTGTGAATGTGAGTGTGCTTGGTTGTCTGTCTCTAAGTGTACCCCTGTGATAGACTGGTGACCTGTCCAGGGTGTCCCCTGCCTTCGCCCTGAGTCAGCTGGGATAGGCTCCAGCCCCCTGCGACCCTAGTGAGGATTAAGTGGTGTATAGATAATGGATGGATGGATGTTTTCATTTTGCCTTCTATGTTTCACTGCAACCTGAACTCAGTAGGCATCATCCTTTTAAATCTATTTGCTTCTCTCCTGCTCTCTGTGCTCATGTATGCTGCATTTTAACACAGCTGCATCCTCATTTACATATTTGTCTGTTTCTGTTGTCAGAAAACAATACGAGCATGAAACCGACCTGGAACGCAGCCCATTAAGACTACATGTCAACCAGCAGTTATTTCAGAACCATTTCCGAGCTGCTACTCTGCACTCCTAAACTACTGATTTTATAACCGAAACATCTGACAAACTCGACTGTGTTTACATGCAAAATGATCATTTAAAGAGGAGGCTAGAGGCAAAAGAAAGTCTTGCTCTCACATAGTCATTTATCCGAGAGTTTTCTCTTGGAAAGTCGGCAGCTCAACTGTATTTAAAACTACAGACGCTGAACCAGTCTGTTTAGAAAACCAGCAGTTACACAATCGTGGTGAAATGAAGCATCTTTGCAGTGTTTTGGGCTGAAATACTGAAAGACACATTCTGGGGAGATGTGAGACTTTAATTAATTTGCAAAAAAAAAATAAAAAAGAGGCACAATATGGGACCTTAAACTGCATCTAATTACAGAACACCACTGCAATGCCCTTCCCTTGTGGTTTCCGTGCTTTTATTTCTCTTATTTATAAAGCGTGTCTGCACCAAAACAAGTACGCCAAATTTGATTCACTGAAGTTTTTATGTAAATGAGTGAATGTGAGAGTGGGTGAGCAAATGAATTAGTGAGTAACACAGTACTGTAGATAGATATAATTGTAATGTGGACTGTCTGCTGACGTTGACTCTCTAATAAAAAAGTATCATGAGCACCATCACTCACAGGCAGACGTAATGGACTCTAATTACTTCACCCTCTGCACAGTTCCATGCGTGAAATGAAAGCACTTTTCCTACACGTGTGGAGGGAGGAGGGACAGCTGACGACAAAAGAAGAAGAAGAAAAAAAAAAAGGGGGGGAGGCAGATAAAATGTGGTAGAGACCCTGAGTGTGGTGGCAGGAAACTAAGCCACGGACTCGAGGGAGGGATGGAGGAAGAAAGTCGGATTCCTGGAAAGGCTAGTACCCGTTCTTACCCTTTGTTCCTTTTACAAGCGCTGTTTTCCCGACTCTTCTTTGTAGCGAAAGCCCAAAGCCATCTCCCCTCACTGCTGTTGTCCTATCTCCTTCACTTTGGCTACCTGTCTTTACCCTGTCCATTTATCTCCTCCTGTCGCGTTCGGTCCTCCCTTTCTTCTTCGGCTGTGTCCTTCTCTGTCAGCCTGCTTTTCCTCCTCCTCCCCCCTCCTTACTTTCTCTCTCTCCCCCCATGACATAAACAGAAAGAGAAGGCTTTGCAGTCCCAGGCAGATCTATTGCTCCTTTAAACCCTTTCACGGTTTCGTCTGTTCCTCTCAATGGGCCTCTCGACTCAGCCCCTCTTTCCCAGATAAGGCTGATAAGCCATCGGCAAAGTGTGCACGTGTGTGTGTGTGTGTGTGTTCGTCCGAGTGTGTAGCATCTTAAACTCTTTTGAATAGTGTGAGACAAATTCACTCCACTGCTCTCACTTAAACATAAAGGGGACAGAGAAGACAGAGGAATTACTTCAAGCCTGACTGGCAGGTTTCATTGACTCTCTGAGGTCTCATGGACGGGCCACGGAAGGATTCATTTGAACTGGCTGACTGGGGCTCCGGCCATCATATTGAAGATCCTTGGAGCATGCAGCTTAGTCACAGTGCAATTTCTCAAGTAATTTGCAGCATATGTGTGTGTATGTGTGTGTGTCTATGCATGGATCCGTGGGCATGTTAACAACTGCATAATGCTTTATTGATTACTGTAAAAGGTAAGTCCCTTTACTGTCTTATACCTGGGTACTGTTGTTCAGATATTATTCATTTAATCCAGGGTGATGAGATGAACTTAAATGATCATTAGACAAAAAAAAGAGAACTGTCTGGAGCACATACTAGCTTTTTAGTTGTCTAGTTTGCACCATGTGAAGAACAACAGAAAAATCTAAACCTTCGATCATGAGTGAAGACTGTGTTTTTTGCTTTTGAGGTAAAGAATAAACTTTCACACTCAGATTAACTCGTTCTGTCAATTCTCATTAAGCTGCTTCTTCAAACAAATCACCGGATTGATTTGTTAAGTTTGGCTAAAGTTCATTTGAAATAAAGAAAAGTGGCAGGCATAAGGGATACGTTTTTAGTTCATGTAAAGCTGAATCTTTTTAACATATTCAGTGGAGTGAAAACCAGGAAAATACTTTTTGAAGCAGGTGTTCTTTAACTAGAGATTTATCTGCATAACAAATTTCCTGCAAGTTCAAGAGTTTAGGAGTCAGTCTTACTTAACGTTAAATCCACTGAAATATTTTCTCTTTTCTGTACATAATACTGCAAACTAAAGTTCTGTTACTTTATTATCTCGTCTTGTTTATCAGGTGTAGGCACTTTACTCTATACAATGAGAATAAATTACACAAGGTGCCTTGGCAATGATCCTGTTGACTATGAATGAGCTTTCAGCTTTAAAAAATATGGTTTATAACAGCTTGGCTTTTATTGTCTTAGCTGTTATTTTCATTTGATCAGATAGCCATCGTAACTTCTTCAGTCTAATAATGCGGAGACATTTCTAACGTAATGTACAATAACACTTATAACAGATAAGTCATGAAGCTCAGTTTCCTTCAAGTTGTCTAAGAACCAGCAAATCCAGGCGTGGGTCCAAACTAACAAATCAATTTGATCGTCCACATATAAAAGAATAAACCCTGTACACTTGCACAAAACTGTACCTGCACAAATCTCTTCACTGTAACACGTGAAGATTTGTGAATGTGGGAGAGGATGTTCTGGAGTGTATTTGTTTTGTACAGTCATCGTACGCTTATGTTTGCATACTTGTGTGCACTCACCACTGGTTGTAGCTGTGTGCCGGGCATCATGGCGTTGGCGAGCTGCATCTGCTGGGCCAGCATGGCCATGTTTTTCTGCTGGATGAGGTTGTTCCTTCCATTGATCTCCAGTTGGGTCTTTAGGTGAGGAGGAGGATGCAGGTACTTACAGTTCTCCCTGGAACAGCGACCCTGATGGGGAGAGAGAGGAAGGGAGAGTAGGAGGAGGGCGACAGCAACAAAAAAGGGAGGGATAGAGACATGGAGAGCGGTGGATTAGAATAGTGGTTCCTTTAACTGCAGCCTAATGTAAAGAAGTAATGAGCCTTGACCCAAGTCGCTGCCCTTCCATTTAGCAGGCGCTGACCTAACATCCCTGACATCTGGGCCTGCCACTCGGTTTGTCGTAAAGAAGGACGATCAGTTCTGCTTTCTTTCTCTTTTTGTGGCCTGAGCTGCGCACTTGCCGCCTTACCTATTTTCTCAAGGTTCCATCGAGAGACAGTTTAGCTCCAAGAGCAAAGATAAAGAGGATTAGCTGTCTATCTGCTTCTAGAGATTGTATTACACAGTGCAAAAGTTAGACAAAGACAATGTTGCATGTCTTTGTGACGATATGGGGCACTTTTCATAATGCACTAATCTGTCCATATTTTTTTTTTTTTTGGGCTAATCTGTTAATTGTCTGTAGGACAAAATACCAGAAAGTTTTTGGAAAACTCCAAAATGCTATGATCACAGTTTCTGAAAGCTTAACGAGACATCTTTAAATTGCTTTTTTTTGTCCCAACACCAGTTCACAACCCAGAAATATTCATTCACAAAGGACAAAGAAACACAGGAAATAATCACATTTAAGAATCAGGACTTAAAAGAATGTCTGACACTTTTGTTTGAAACATGATTTAAATGATTAATACTGTTGTGGCCCTGTCTAGGGGAGTAGGAGCCCAGCATAAAAGTAAAGGGTATTCTAACGGTAACCAAGAGAACACTGATTTATCAATAAAGTGGAATAATTTATCATCTACCGCAAGGAGAAAAGCGACACTATCTGGAAGCAAAATCACTTCAGGGGGCAGCAAGGCCAAAATAATGAACAAAAAAAGATCCATCAGCACAGAAATTATCAAAATATATGCTAATTCCTTTTTCCCGTTCAATTGAAAAACCAGTGCGGTGAACTGTTTTATTCATTTTCCTCCTTTTCTCTACACAAATTATTATACAAAGAAAAGTGGCTCAAGTTCAAAAAGGTCAAGAATCTTTGTATAGTTACTGAGTAAAAATAAAGACATGAAATTAAAAAGAAATAGAAAAAGGAATGATGAGGGAGAAAAAAAAGCTCAGTTTTTTTTTAATCAACTATTTGAACTACTACTTCATTACTGCTGCAACTCCAAAGACCGACTGTTGTGGGAATCTCAATGAGATCCGCAGTCTCCCTCCGTTCTGTCGCCTTAGATGGTGCCTAACTTGATGCTGGATGTTTTACAAAAAGCCCCGTGAATCGCCATTGATCTCCTCCCAATTGAGACGAACGAGTTATGTGTCAATATTTGACACCGTTTCAAAGAGGAACAGGCTGGAGAACTGATGCCTGGATCGATACGTGATTGGAGACTTCTGCGACGGTAAACATACACACGACGCGGCCATCTGAACATTATGCCGGTGTCTATAGCGCAGTGTGTGTCTGCGCTGCTGTGGGTGATTATATTCATCCAGCAGCCGGCAGCCCGAGGGGGAGAAGGAGAGAATGTAATTTACACTCTCATAACGCCTGCTCCACTGAACACTCCCCCGGATAGGTGTAATATCTTAGATATCTCCTCCTCTTTTTTTTTTTTTTTTTGGTGTTTTTTACTCCCCCCTTTTTCTCCCTCATTCCCTTCCCTTCACCTCAATCCCCTATACATCCTGAGCCTCGTGCTGATATTTGCTTTCCCCCCCATCATGAATACAGAGCAGTGCAGGTGCAGAAGTGCTGCTGTGATCTGTGTATGTTCATGCATGTGTGCAGAATGTGCAGCACGGAAACTCTCTGCCTTTGTCGGCTCTGCTCTTTCTTCTCCTCTTCTCTCAACCCGCCTCATCAAAATGCATCCTCTATCCATCTCTCCCCATTACTGCTTCATATAAATCTATTTCCAGGGGGACTTGGAGACCAGCCCTACGACAACTCCACAGTACCACCTGCCAGGGGGAATTAAAGGTTGGCTGTCATGCTACTGCTTATCTCAGTGAGATTACCTGCTGCTCACTGCGGCCCACTATGACACCTGCTTTGACAACCTAACACATGCACTCGCCTATTCTGCCTTTATTCCTAACACCTCTCCTTTTTTTTTTTTTTTTCTTCCTCTCCGTGTCTCGCTCTGTCTCTTCCCTCTCTCCCCTTTTATTTACCTCGTGCGCCCAGTTCTGCCTAGCTACAGCAGGAACGCTACTTTGCATTGGAGAGCAGCAGAATGTCAAGAGTTGTTCTGGCATTTTCATTGGACTAGAGCTGAGAGGGATAGTATTCCCAGCCTGCCGATTGGCCTAGAGGCACACATTAACAAAGCTCCAAGTCTGGCTCATCCCTGCGTGGCTGTGACTATTGATCAGCGCTAATTGGTTAATGTCTTTTGATTTTCAGGGTACATTCCCTCTGGGTGACTCGACTCAAGCATGGCAACTCCAGCCATGTGTGTGCGCCTGTGATCAACTGTGACAACACTGAGCTTACAATTACATAAAATCCCCCCAACGCTCTTTGAGAGCGTCCTCTTTGCATTGCGTTTGGAGTGGTCCAAGTTCAATAGGTTTTAAACAATTTAACATTTTAACAAGCTATCTTGGGGGGAAGCTACAAAGTCATAATTTAGAGAAAAAAAAAGTTGAAAATGTCAAAGAAAAAAGCTGTGACATTTTGAGAGTAAAATCTAAAATGTATGAGGAAAAAAAACATCACGTTTTCAGAGAAAAATAACACTTTTCGTAAACAGCTGAAGGCAGTTTGTCAGCTTTTTCTGTCACAAGTGAAGGACATAAATGACCTCAGGGTGTCACCTTCTTCTCAAAATAATGAAACAAACTTTTTCTTCTTAAATTTTTATTTTTGCCATAATCGTTCAATGTGACTATCAAAATAAAACATCAGTGTTGATCCAGTCGTACTTTGTAGACGGCTGGTTTTATTTCCATCATTAGAAATACTTTTTCCCCCTTTTTTTATGGAAAGAAGACAAACTTTGTGTGTATAAATCACAAGACTACTGTGCTGGAGAGCATTTAACAAAGCTTTGAAGGAATGGAAACACTACGATGGAACAAAAAAGAAAGAAACTTGCTTTTCTCTGTGTGTAAGTTTTCACTTTCAAATAGCAACAAAGTCTGCGTTAGGAGAGTCGATGGGTGACACCAACACAGGACTTTCACTCTGTCTGTGACGATCACATGATTTCTTACCATCATTTTTATTTTCATTTTCATTTGGGTGGGTTTAGCCACCAAAACTACTTGGTTCGCTTCAGGCAAATATCATATTTTGGGTTAAAACACATCGTTTCACAACATGTTTAACATTTCTCCTCTTTCGGGACACAAAAGTGAAGAGTCCCATCCCATTTAATATGTAACTGGTTGGCTGAAAAGGTTTGGGAAGCGATGTAGCATGGCAAGAAATGTCATTCTCATACCTAAAATATATTAAGACAAACTGAATCTGAGAGAAAATATGTTAAAATACCTTAAAACATAAATGAGAATTCAGTTTAGTTGTACAGAAACAACGTTTTTTGGGGGAAACCGTCTCCACAAGGGATGAGTTATAGAAGAACTGTAAAATGTTGTTCTTCAATCACTTGAAATACAAAAAACTGGATTGCTGTCAGATCATCGGGTTCTGCGTTTTGTTTTTGAAAGAGGATTCTTTTTCCTTCCTCGATGACAGACACCACTGTGAGCACATCGATGGATTAGCATCGGGGCAGAATCTGAATTTTGATTTGCATTTTATTGGCTGCATCTAGAGAGATGTGTTCCCACTTCCTGGTTTCATCAATAGCCCCATTATCTGGTGTTGTGCTGCTGCTGTCTAAACAATGCAGTCATGCGTGAGCCTGAGGTCCCTGCCTATCACTGCTGCTGATGCTAATGTCCTGGATGCTCCCCTGTCTGTTTCCCCAGCTATTTTCTCCACTGTCTAAACAGTGTCAGTACAGGTTAATGGTGAGCCTGTCTGATCCAAAGCAGCACTCCCTCTGGCTCGAGTGTGTGACTAGCAGACTCTACTCGAGCTGACGGTGTTCCACCTTCACCTGTCTGCCTGTCCTCCCCTAACAGACTACCTGCATCTGTCTCTCAAGCACTGTTCAGACTGTTCTATCTTCTTGTCCTCTTGTCTTTTCTGTGTCTCTCCCTGTTCAGGTCCACCTCTCTGCACACCCTTTGCCCCGGACAAACACGTCAAATTATTCTGTCTTCATTGAAAGCTACACCACAAGACAACTTCTCACATGCCAGGGTACGGTTTGGTAAACACATAAAGCTGTCTCCTCTCCAAATATAGATTCTGAAACTGGTACTGTTGCCAGATTTTTGTTGTGGCAAAGTTTCTCTTTAGAAAAAAAAAAAGGAAAAGGCAATTAAATGAAAGTGAACCAGCTGTCACAGTCACACTTTAGGTTTATGGGAAATAGAGCATTCTGCACTTATAAATCACCTTGGCCTCATTAAATTAGATATCTTGCAGCTATATTTCAGCTTCTGGATGCAGACACTCACACGTGCACATTCAGTGGTGTTACTTTTCAGGAAAATATAGCAAAAAGTTTGGGATGACGGTTTGTTACTAATTATATTTGGAGAAGTAGAGCGTGATATATATCGATATACTAGTGTGTAATAATGCACACACACATATATGTATATATATATATATATATATGCAAGGATGGATACGCACATATGCATATGTACACATCCTAACCTTGACTTACTCTAATTTCCACTGCGGCATTTTCACTGCATTTTCAAGTATCCCACGTGGCTGGTTGGGACTTCAGCAGCAGCAAACAGGGTGGTTTTAATCAACTTCACATAGTCCTCTGTGACAAGGTTACATCAACAAAGCAGTCCACATAAACAACAGTGGACGACAGATTTTTTTTTTTTTTAACCGTTTAACATCCACATTCTGGCCACAC